CAGTGGGGACCCTCACCCCATGGAGGTTTGGCTAGCCTGGGTGAGGGGTTGAGGGCCATTTTCTGGCTGGCCAAGCCCCCCGGCGACGGAAGCTCCCAGCCTCTCCTTTTTTTCTTTTTATTCTGGGATTTATTTACCTTCTATAATTAAAACTTTGTAGCCTTGAGAGGAGCTCAGAGCCAGCCAGGGCAGGGGGGAGGGAAGCCTTCTGCTTGCTCCAGCTCCGTGGCCACGGCCGGCTGAAAGCAGGTATCTGGGGTTTATTTACCTTCTATAATTGAAACTTTGTTGCTTTGAGTGGAGCTCAGAGCCAGCGGGAAGCTTGGCTTCCTCCATCATTGGGGCAACCAAGCCTCCTGCTTGCTCCAGCTCTGTGGCTGCTGGCCGCCATCTTGGTTGGGTTAATTTGCATATCATCGCTCTGATTGGCTGGTGGGTGTGGCTTAAGGCATAGAGAAGGTACAATTTGCATGTTTGTCTTTTATTAATTAGTGTAGATATCTGAACTAGGTATTTTTTACTTGCTTCAGCAGAGTTCTTGACTACAGTGTTTTATAGTAATTATATAAAATTTGTCATAGCTTTATGGTAGCATTCAACTTCGTATTTAATTTTTTTTTTTAGTTCATCTACTGTGCCTTAGGGAACCATTATATAAACCAAACTTTTAATTAAACTATAACTTTGAAACATCATGAGTAAATCCAAGATGAGGAAAAGATTACAGTTGTATACTTTAATTTTAACGTTTCCTACATTCTCCCAACCAAAATCCTCTTTACCTCACTTTATTATCTTTTTCTTGAGCCCCCTTATTCTTTTTCCACCACCAAGCTAATGCATTTTGTAAGACCTCTACATCTTTTATTAAAAACTAAGTTCAAAACAGATAAAGGCAATACCAAAAAATGGGAGTGGATACTATTAAGCTATTAAAGGGTTCATTTTTAACTGCTTTGAAAGTATTTAAAGGCAATCTTAGAATATTAAAATTTTTAATTTTGATTTTCTTTTGTATTTCAGTTCCATATGAAAAGAAATATTTATCAGGTATGTAATGGTCTTAAATTTTTTTCACTAATGACCCTCTCTAAAAAATTAAACATAAAGTAGAACAGTTTTTATACAAATGTAGAAAGGTCTCTTAGCTTTGTAATAAGACTGACATTTTAAATATGATTAACTGCAAGTTATGTAAGAAATGAACTTTTTTAAAACACCAATTTTTTTCATTGAACTCCAATGTTTGTGTGGGAAAGGACTATCTTTTCTTCAAAAAAATTTCCCCTCAGTTGTAATTACATGTCTTGAGGGCTTTCTAAACACATTTCTTAAAAGCTGCAAGATAATACATGTATTTACATGGTTCAAAAGCAAACCCAATCAAAGGCCCTGGAGGCAACTTGAGCACAGGCCACTTGCAGAATGTAAAAACACAAGGTGTATATATACTATGCCCTACCAATGCGGAATGCTATTCAGTTCTTAAGATACTAGGTATTTTAGTTTACTAGTTACGGTGTGTGGTTATGTCTATTATGCCATTGTCTTAATTACCATGTTTTCAGACTAAAATTTTCTTTTTTTGAGCTATTGTCATGTAATCACTAGTTAGTGCTGATTATGGATATTATTATACATTCATTAATAGACTGAAATAAGAGCAGTATGTTCATACTGGTCAAGTCAGAGTGCTATACTGCAAATGGGCTGTGTTAAGTTTAATAAAAACAATTAACTATGAAAGAATCCCATTTGAAGTTTACAGATTTCTTGGCTTAACATTATTTCACTTAAATGTCTCTAAAGAAGCCTGTCAATATTTTAGAAATATCAATGGCTTTTCCTCATCTTAACAGATAACTTCTGGCAAGATTTTTCTTGCTAAGCTTTACATTTCCAAGTCTCACTTTAACAAGCACCAGCTGAAAAGAGCATTATGAGAATATTTTAGTAATCTCAATGCAAAAATACATTTTTAAAGAAAAAACAATTCTGGGATTTCTCTTCATTTACTTTTACTATGAAATACAAATACCTTCCTCAAAGCATTGTCCTCATCCTGACTCCTAAACAAAGTGATTTTGCTTAAGTTATTCAACTAAATTCTTATAGAAAGGTTCCAAGGTTTTGATAACCAAAACTGCAAGGTTGTACACAATTACTTCAGGAATACAAAAACAGTTATTTGAATAAATTCAAAAGACAAAAAGGGATTTTTGAATCTTAGAGAATTGAAAAATTTACCTGAAAAATTTAAATATGGCAGTTGTGTTCAAGCAAAAAAATATAAACCTTGATAGTAATTGTATAATTTTTCTCATCTGTGTGGGAAATTCCCAAAATAGCCAAGTATTTACATTATAAAACTATTAGTGTCCCCCCCCAATACAGTATTAGCAATTTATGTACCTGATTTCCCGTATTTTCTTTTGTCTTTTCCTTTACAGATAACCACATTTTAATATCAGCTTTGGTGATTGCTAGCACAGTAATTTTGACAGTTTTGGGAGCAATCGTTTGGTTCCTGTACAAAAGAAATTTGCATTCTGGTTTCACCACCGTTTTTTCAGTTGCACCCCAATCACCTTATAACGATGACTGTGTTTTGGTAGTTGCAGAAGAAAATGAACATGCTGTTCAATTTGACTGAAACTTTGGAAATCTTGGATTAAGACATCAAACACACTGGCAGTGATTCATGTGTAAGACTTTAATATAAAACTTCACAATGAGTTTTTATGGTATATATCCTTATTTCACTAACATCCCTCATCGCATTTGAAAAAGGAATGATCTTAAGATATGTTAGTGGTTATAACCACCTCCCCAAATGTTACTTTTTACTTGCAGGAAAGCTTAAAGCACAGCAGAAAAAAAAAACACACCCCAAACCCACTCTATTTGTATTACCTGCTATATCTTCCCTCCCTCCTCCCATTTACTTGAACCACCTTATAGCTGGGAAAAAAATTCTACCTACCACTAGTTTTAGCAATCGCTACATCTTGCTCTCTTACTAATAAACATGCACGGGGAATAAACCTAACTTTATACTATATATATATTGAGATATATGAGTACATGCTGGTTACTATGGCAGATAATTTGTTTTCATCTTCAAAATTTAGATTTTGAAGATGTAGAATTTTGCAAGAGCTGCCATTATGGTAGAATTTAGATGTAGAAAATTTTAAGGATGTTAACAGTATTTCATATAAGTTGCATAATTTTACAATTTCGTTACTTTTTGGACAACACACAGTATTTAGCACTGATCCCAAATGGTTAGAATTTTAATAAAATTTTTTGAAACAAAAACTATAGCCATACCAGGAAGGTGGTGGGAGGCAGGTAGTAAGGATAACACTTGAAATATAATGCCTTTACTTTTCCCCTACCACCAGACGTACTCCCATATAAGGTTATCCTATACTCCTCCAGCACTGACCTTTATATTTCAATGACATAAGCAAAAAATGCAGAAAAACACTGTACTATATGGTAGTGATGACGCTTAAAAGTTTTCAGCACCTTTCATGGACAATTTAAGGGTGAAAAATAATCATTTTGGGCGTCAAAAATGAAAATGGAAAAAAGCTGAAAGTTATTTTAAGTTTTCTTTATAGCTTAAAAACTATTAGAAAACAAAGAACATATAGAGTTGATATACAATTATATTTACTCCATTTAGAAACACAAAGCTCAGTTAAATCCTCTCTCAATAACCCACAGTCCACACTACCAAGTTTGATCAAAGGCAACAGTCCCAGCTTGTGTCATGTTTCCCTTCTCACAATTAATGGCACTTTTGTTAAGGAGATATTAACAATAAAGGCTATGTGGTATTAAAGAGAAAATGTTACAGAAGCTGTATTATACAATTATGCCCTGTAAGAGCTTTAATTTTCTTTTTTATTTTATGTGGTGATTTAGAAGGTTATTGTTGATAAGCTATTAAGTGGTACTAAAGATAGTGAACATTAGACTGGAATTCCTTCTTGCTTTCCTACTCAGATTCTAGGAGTTTAAGAACTAAGGACGATCCCGATCTCTTAATACTTTCTCCTGTTGTCACAAATCTCTACAATGGCCAATATGGTAGTTAACTTACAGCACCCACAAAATGTGTGGCTTTTACATTAAAAATAACTTAGTTCCTCAATTACACTAGCAACATTTCAAGTGCTCAACTCAACATGCAATTTAAAATATTTCCACTTTCACTGGTTAGTGCTGCTCTAGAATCTCCCCTCTCCTTCCACTCAATACTCATACAACCAACTAATTTCTTCTGTTCGTTTTGATAACTTCTACCTAATGGCAGCTCTTGCAAAATGGCTGTTTTAAACTGATACCCCTGTGTTTATTTTTTCAAACAAGTTATTAGAGGACCCTGGTAATGAAATGTTAAATCTTAATTTTCTTTATGTATCAGAACATCTGTAAATAGGCCCTTATTTCTATTTAAAGGTCAACAGATTAACTGGAACATTCAAATCTGTATTTTTATTAACAAATAATATGCATTTTTATTTATACTCAGAATGTTTAAATTGCTTTCTTTAAGACCATGGTCTAGTTAATTTGGCAGATATCTAGGAAGAACAACATTACATTTTCCTAGGAATTTGCAATCTTTGTAGTGAATAGTGTATGGTGTCTTATTTTTGTTCAGAGTTTGTGATAACTAATGGAAATATTTTTCTTATTCCCTCTAATTCCCATTTACAGGATATTAGAAGCAAATATAATATTAAATATGTAGTGCTAAGAACTACAGAATACTATAAAGCTCAAGCCACTGTCACTTAGTATTTTAAAAAACTATAAAATTGTACACCAATGGAATTTTTACCATTTAATTTTTCAAATAAAAAATATTGTGGTTTAAAGCAGAAGACACTTTAGTTTTTTAATACTGAATTCTAGTAAAAGTATAAGTGTTTCAAATTCAAAGCAACCCTAAGGACCCACAGAATAGATACTGGAACTGGCATCCTTAAGTTAGCATTTTTGCTTTACATAAGGTAATGAACGCAAAACTAACAAGTTGAGCAAATGTTTTAGAAACATTTATAGTTTTGTATGAAATGGAATTTGAAAATTTAATAAAATTCTTGCTATAAGGTTTGAAGTCTACTTTGAGCACCAAAAGCAAACATTTCAAGCTATAAAGTAAATCAATCAGTATACTTTATTTTGAGCCAAGGTTTTACATGAAGACCAACAAAGTAAATGTTGATTCAGATTTGAGAAATTACATGGTTTCTATTTAGATTTGGAAAAAGAAGTTTGTTGCCATGGTCTACGACTTTATTCAACCTAAAACCATATGAAAGTGTTTTTGAGTGTATCCTAAGGTTGCTCACAGAGAAAATACACTGTTCTGGAATTATACACGACGCATGACCACAGTGTAGATCTATTCATGGTGAACAGGTAAAGTTCTTTTGTTCTCCAAATGTAGTGAAAATAGTAAGCCACTAAATAAATGCTCAGATTAACAACAGTTAAAAACGGTCAGGATCCAAACAGGTTTTTATTTACGAAGAAGTGACAACACTAAAAAACATATTGAAAACCAGTGTTTTAAACTTTGAATGTGGGATTTAAAAATATTCCATTAACTTGAGATTGCAATAATTTTCTTTTTACCAAATAGCACTTGACTGGCAATTCTGGTATAATTTAGAGCTGAAATATTCCTAAAGGAATATCTACATACTATGGCCTATCAAATATAACCTGCATTTTTCAAATCAATACAAAAATGTATCCATCATTTATACATTTTAAATTTATATACTTTTTTAAAAATTAGGTATTACCGCTAAATAAATTTAGAATTTAAAGTAAATTTGGACACCTAATATAATGCTCTTCATAACTTACTCCCCCCTACTCATTCTTTTTTCTTTTTAAACACCGGAAGCAAATGATTATGTAAATGAGACCGCAACTTAAGGCATTTTAAAAGGAAAAATAATTAGGTGCCATTTGGCATTTTATTTTGAAAGCAGTTTTGTCTCATTTTTTTTTCACTAGCAAAGGGCTAAAACACGAACCATTTTCATAAATATGACTACAATAATCAGAACAAAAAAAGGGTTGTAGGCATTGCTTAGATATTTAAAACAATATAACACTTCCCCACTCACCTAAAAGAAAAATACTTTTGATTACCAGTTTATTAACATCAGTGACTGGCCATGTTAAAAGGTCCAGCAAGTAGAATTTTAATTCAGCAACACTTGAGAATGAATATATATATATATATATATACACATGCATACGTGTGTGTATATATATATATTCATTTTATTTATATAATGTATTTAATAGGCATTCCCCCACAAAATTAACTCATACTTAATTGCCAGTTTTAATAAACACTTGTTAACAGATCATCCATTTGTCTTATATGAAGTTAGGCAATATCAAATGTTCTGTTATGTTCTCCATCTTCTTCAGAATCATCCTCTGAAGCTGTTGAAAGAAAAGAGGATGATCAAGAATGATTTTAAGGGGGATGAGAATGGAAGTGTAAATATGAAGCCAGAAGAGCAATGACTTGTAAAATAAAATCCCAACGTAATAAACTCTTTGGTCAAAATGAAGATATGACAGGGGTTAGGGTAGTTTGACTGTGGGTAATGCCATTCCAAAACACCCCCATCCCTAAATCTTGTTAGTTTCTATAAAAACAAAAATGTTTTAAAATGTGGTTCAAGAACATCTTCTAAAAAGTTTCTGAAATGTTTGTGCTCATATTAGCCAATTTCAATAGAGAAAAAGTAAACTTAAAACAAGTGCTCCTCACACACCTGAGTCTGGCTTATTACTGCAACATGTTTTGATGCATCTGGTGAGAATGGAAAAAAATGTGCACAGAATAGATTATGGGTATTCTTGCAAATTACATCAAAGCTGTGTCTATACAATGCCAAGAAAAAGCTCTATTTCGTTATTCAAAATAGCTTTCTATAGACACAGCCTAAACTAACTGGATTCAGTAAAAACCTTTTGTTGAAATTACTCCTATAACTCCACATTGCCAGAAACTTATCATTTTGCAGTATTTCGGACCTCAATTTATTTTAGCGTCATTAGTGGTTCAAGAATTTAATATGAAACATCCTGTAATGTCTTTAGGAAGAACATAAGTATTCTGTAAACTGCTCTGCATGTTGAGGAAAATGGAAGTTCACTAAAATAAACATTGAACTAGCATTTCCCCTATTATCAAGGGCATTTACTCTTCTTGTGTTAACACTGGATGATTTAAGAGTACCCAGCAAATGACTTCCACCAGAAAAATATGCTACATGTACAGTTTCTCAGTCTATTCATTGATCTTGCAGAAAACTTAAATGATACCAAGCATAAAAGCTCATGAATGCATAAACACAAGGGTTAAGTTTTATGCTGTATCATGGAGCAGTAGCAAACTAAAAGTAAATTGCTTTGTAAAGAACTTATGTTTTCTATTTTATTTACTCCACAGGTGAAAATTCGGTCAGAATCCATGTTCAGAATGTTAATATGCTGGTATTTATTTGGTAGTTAACTTGTAGCACCCACAACATCTCTCATTCTCAGCTGAATTTGAGTATATTTCACCTCCATCTTTTTTCCTTTCTCTCATGTTTAGGAGTTGACACTTATGTTTAGGGAGCTAAATTATAAAAGAGAATTAAAAAAAAAAAGACAAACAATCTGGGGAAAATACTCACTGAAATTATATCTGACAAAGTATAAATTATTTACAAAAAAGGGGATAAGATGATATAAAGGAAAAAAGATTTACATCCCATTTCATATACCATTTGACTCTTTTATATACAATTTTTACATATACTAACTAAATTCTAAAATTGCATTATCTGGTTGTACCTCTACTCTTTTTAAAACTTAAAAATAGCACAGAATGACAAAAATCCATATCTTAGAGTAATCAAAGAATTAAAAAGTTCTTATGAGAACTAAATCCCCCTCAAACCTTATTTCAAAAGATGCTGAACACTTGCTAAAGATGAAAATGTTATGCACACTACAGACAACACTTTCAAGTATTTTGAAGATGATATAGAAGGTAATCAACTGGAGAATACATATTTTAAAACACTTCAAAGAGTGCATTCAAATTTGATCATGGGGAGCCACTTGCTTTGGGTGAAAAAGTACTAAACAGGGTAATCTTGGAGTCCCAGGAACTATTCCAGAGCCACCAGTATCTGCGTCCACCTGGTATGAAGCACCATGGAGGTTGTAGGACTTTGAGAAGATGGTATGTTGTACAGATGCCTGTAAAAATTTGGACATTAAATGCCTTCATATAGGAGCCCAGGCAGAAGTCCTAATGCTAGAACAGGATCTAAAAATGTCCATGAGGACCTGAACAAGGAGCAAAACAAACAAAAAAGAAACAACTAACCCACCACTATGGCTTCTGTTATGGATTCAGAATTAGCGCTCTTTTACCCCTATTTTCTTACAACTATACATAAACCCAGGAAAATCTTTTATGACCTAACAAAGCTGAATAACAAAATTTCATGCACAAACACAAAAATCTAAAAGATTAAAAAGCGTCGTTTGATTAGTAGTCAAACGTCTTAAGTGTGAAAATTAAGGTGATCAGAAACAAAATTTTATTTAATGGAAGTAATATACTGATGGTTAAAAGTAGATCCTTCTGTACTTTAAAATTAGTACCATTTAAAAAAATATGTTTTAAAAATCCTAATGTCAGTTGCCCAGCCGTCTTTCCCAAATCAATGGTATTAAGGCTATAAATGAAGCTCTAATTTGAGAGAGTATATACTTAAGGCTTTGCTCTGTGAGTTTAATTTGCAACAGTAAATTCAACAAGTCTGGGGAGGGGGAATTCCACCTACTTTCGAGATCTTCCATATGTGCCTGAAGAGTTCTTGCAAGGTTAATAAACTAGAAACAATGCAGAAAAAAATACAGTAGTTGAAATGTTGCAAATGGATTTGAAGAGAGATTCAGTTTAGGAGTTTCATTTCTATTTAAAAAGTCAAACACCATTTTTAAGCCTTTAAATAGGAGGGTCTTTCTCGACCCACTTCAAAAATTACTTAAGCTTAAGGATATTGTTTTTAAATTTTTTATAAATAATAAATTAATCATGTATTGAGCATGTAGAAATTGGGAGCAAATACAGAATTTGTATCAAATAACATTTCTCTTGCATAAATGTAACGCAACAATTATGAAAAAATAAAAACTTTAGAATTTGGACTCATGATTTCAATTTTAGTGGTCAATTTAGAAAATTAAAACAAGAATATTATGTAAATGTGACAACTCGAAGTATTGCACTTGATTCTATATTTTTAAAAAAATTATAAAAATGACTTGCACTTGAATATTAATTTGACTACAGCTTTTTAAAAAGGCATGAATTCAATAGAACTTAATAGACTTATATGGTTTATTCATTCTTAAGAGAGAAGTCATTTTATGGCATTAACTAGATTTAGGTCAGAGGTCCTCAAACTTTTTAAACAGGGGGCCAGTTCACTGTCCCTCAGACATTCCACACATGCTCACTGCGGGCCCGGGACGAGTCGGCTGCTAAGCAGGACAGGCAGCGGCGGCAAAAACACCCGGCGGGCCGGATAAATGTTTTCGGCGGGCCGCATGTGGCCCGCAGGCCGTAGTTTGAGGACCCCTGATTTGGGTAGTAATATGATTTCTAAAATACTAAGAAATCAAGAGATCTTTGCTCAAATTCTGGATGGTCTTAAGACAGTTTATTCTCTTTTCCTCAATGATGATAATCTGTCAACTGGCTCACAGGTATAATAATGTGCATATGATGGTTACAGAAAAATGTTTTACCAATGTATAATATACATTACATTTTTATAATTTAAAAAATACCATAAATTGTTAAATTTTTGTCACTAAAATGAACACTTATATAAAAAAGGTTAAAGGATATATGTTTATGAACACATTTAAAGATATGAAGTGTTCAGATAATTACAGTAATGAGATGTAGGTGGCCCTAGCCTCTGCTACACAAAATGAGCAAGGTAGCAGCATACAAATCTCCTCTGGTACACTGAGGCAAACTGTATCATTTACGACTACCTAGCAGCTAGCTTAAGTATTAAATTAAGGTAATAGTGTACAGAGCAAATACCAAATAATCCGTATCTAAAATAGTTTGCATTATGGACTCACTTGAAAATTAGTACATTGGTAAGCTTTTACATGACAGTAACAAATAAATTGAAGTTAATTTCCTATTCTCTCTTGGTTTTTGGAGTTCAGATTTCTAAGTTATATTTCTAAGTCATCCTCCTCTCCTCTCAATTAAAAAGAGAACACTTTCCCCTTAGTGTTTCCTTTCTGTTTTTCACTGAAATATATTCCAATTACCTTTATGAGCTAGAAAATTACTTAACTAAAATAGCTTTATGAGAAAATTAGGCTGCTTAATATAGAAGATAGCAATTTCTATTAAATCTACAATATTTTTATTTTTAAGAGACATTTTAACACAAGAAGTCCTCAAAGGAAATAGAATATGAGCATATAAAACAATCTGCTTTCCAAAACAAACACCTGGTACATCACACCCTCCCACCGCCCTCCTCCAACATTACTTACTCGGACTCGTGTGCTTGGTTCACTTGTATTTCCCATCATATCAGAAAAGCTTTGTTCGCACAAGTGCAATAACACAACTAGGTAGAGACCAGAGCTGATAAACTCATACTCAGCCTTCAAAAGAGAAGCAAACAAAAGAAAAAGAAAATGGAGAATGAAAAATTAGTAAACTTGAGATTGATAGTCATAGTACACTGATAAACTAGAGGAAATATATCCATTAATGTCTAGCTCCTAGTAAGAGATATGGTGCCATCTATTAAAACAGGAAATAAAGGGCCACCCTTCATAACATCATAAAATTTTACTAATGCCAAATAATGAGTCCAAATAGGTGTGTGAATAGCCTCTTTAGTCTCATACAGTCTTCCTTTATGTAATGGTTTATATAAAAGTGGGATTTTTAAGTCATATGATTATAGAATCTGGTTCTTTATAAAGCTCATAAGCACTTTCACTGCACAAATGACTAAATATTTACTTAAAAATTATCACTTCATCTACAGCTAACTCAATATATACTATATAACTAAAACCTACTCTGATAGGTCAAATGATTCTTAGGTAATACAATTAATTTAAAGGCAACGGTAATTTAAAAAATAAACTAAAAAAGGAAATAGAGTAACTGTTACTCAAATAGTTATTTGATTCCAAACTCTTCTATTGTTTTGAAGCTAAAACTACAAATCATATAGTGTTTTAAAAATCTGAACTGTCCTGTAGTTTTTATACAGCAAGCTATCTGTAAGCTGTGCCATTTTGGTAATTAACTTATCTGCAAGTTAAGAACTATACTTTATTAGTACCAACTTCAGCAAGTTATCAGATTCTAGAGTACTAAAGAAATTCAAAGTTGATTTATTAAATGCTTCTTTAAATACTTAACTTACTTTTATCTTACAAGAAAATTATATACCCGTAAGATTTTAAAAATGTTAATGGTTAGTACCTTGAAAAAAATGAAGCCACTGGATAATGAAATACTAAACTGTATTAACATTAAACTAATCACTTAAAATGGGGGTAGTTGTCAGGCCACCAGAATCCATAATTCACAAAGAACAAAGAAGTTAAAGCCAGGAAGCTTTCTTAGCAATGACTCCACCTATTTCCCAACACTTCCAAATTACTTAAGATGTGGATCATTAAAATCATTGGAGAACAGTAAAAACATTCCTGGATTAACTGAAAAGTCAAACAACACCTTTAAGAGACACGATGGAGTACATAGAGAAGGAAGATGGCAGGAGAAAACCATCCTTTGTAACCTACTCACATTTTGAGAATAAAAAAATATTTCTTTGCATTACTCCATCTTTCCATACTCTTCTACCATTCTTTAAAGTACCAATGCTCAGTTGTCTAGAGAGACTCCTTTGGGGATTTACGAAAATTTCTTGCTTAAGTGGTATTTTTTTGGACAACCGACTCATTAGATAATAACCAATTACTATTGGAGTACCATCTGTACTACAGCTGCCTTATGTTTCATTCTCCAGATCAGTGGTGGTCCGAGGAACACTGGTGGTCCTTGTGAAGTCCGAAAGGTTGGCAACCACTGCACTAGATCATTGATTTTTTAACCTGGATCTAAGCAATTAGCTTCAGGGAACTTGGGAATCCCATAACTTATATACAGATTTTGTGTCTATGTATATTTTGTAAGAAGTGTTCATGGTTTTAATCAGATTTTCAGGGGTATCCATTTGTTCCCACATTTAAAAGGAGTGTCCACAAGAGACCATATACCACATTATTCCGTTTATATGAAATATGCAGAACAGAGAACTCCACAGAAACAGAACATAAGACTGGTTGTTTCCAGGGGATGTGGAAAAGGGGGTAAAGGGGAGAAACTGCTTAATGGGTACAGGATTTTCTTTTGAAGAGATGAAAATGGTTGGAAGTAGACAGAGGTAGTGGTTGCACATTGCAAATGTATGGATAACCACTGAATTGCTCAATTTAAGTGGTTTTTATGTTATCTCAACTTTGTGTCAATAAAATAAAGGGGCGGGGGGGTCCATTACCCCTTCATTTAAAAAGTGTTTTTTAAGGATTCATGAATTTTCTCACCATCAAATATCTCTCTTAATAACAAATATGCTAAGCTCACTTGGATAGTGTATGGCTCTAGGATCATCCTAATAATCTCCTTTAACATCTTTTCTCCACCTCCACCTCCACCTCCCAAACTTTCCTTTAAGAAGTGAGCTTTTCATTCTAACTGTATAATTTAAGCATCCCAACATTTAAAAATGTAAAGCTCTTCAAGAAACAAAAATTAGTGATCAAAATTATTGGGAAACAGGAGTTATCAATACATACCAAAAGAATCCGAGAAATGAGAAGAAAATATTTGAAAAATGTATTATGATCAAAGAAGCCCTGGTATTCATTATATAAATAACAGCTAGACTATAATGGTACAAATACTAAAGGAAAACAACTATGTGAACTTGGAATAAAAAATTTCATAAAATAACTTGTTCAACGTAAGTTGGAAACAGAAATGGGGAGGGCGGAGGGAACAAGGATACTAAGAACATGTGGTCAGATATGCATATAAAAACTATTCTAACATAAAAAATACAGAAATAGCAGAAATATGAAGCAAATCCAGGGTTTGTTGTTTTAATCATGTTCCAGCACTCAAGAGGCATTCGTAACTGAGATATCTGGGGCACTACTTAGGGATCACTTTCCCAAGCTTTTATTATTTTCAGGTTTATTTAGGAAACATAGGATATATTTTATCTACATAAATTTAAAACCTGTGACTTGGTTATTTACCTTTCAGTGACAGAAAGTTATGAGAAAAATAAAAGAAAAATTATAAAATTATAATCCCTAATGCAGTAACAGAGAATTATATTAAATTATTGCCCTGGCTGGTTTGGCTCAGTGGATAGAGCGTCGGCCTGTGGACTGAGGGGTCCCAGGTTCGATTCCGGCAGGCGCATGACTCAAGAGGCATTCGTAACTGAGATATCTGGGGCACTACTTAGGGATCACTTTCCCAAGCTTTTATTATTTTCAGGTTTATTTAGGAAACATAGGATATATTTTATCTACATAAATTTAAAACCTGTGACTTGGTTATTTACCTTTCAGTGACAGAAAGTTATGAGAAAAATAAAAGAAAAATTATAAAATTATAATCCCTAATGCAGTAACAGAGAATTATATTAAATTATTGCCCTGGCTGGTTTGGCTCAGTGGATAGAGCGTCGGCCTGTGGACTGAGGGGTCCCAGGTTCGATTCCGGTCAGGCGCATGTACCTTGGTTGCGGGCACATACCCAGTGGGGAGTGTGCAGGAGGCAGCTGATCGATGTTTCTAACTCTCTCTCTCCTTTCCTCTCTGTAAAAAATCAATAAAATATATTTTAAAAAAATTATTACTATTTTTATTATTTTAATGCCGGTTTTCTGACCATGTTTTAATCTTTTCTTCAAGAGTTGTCCTTTAAACATAGAAGAGACACTTACCAACAAGGGAAAATATACTAACTTGTTCATTTGCATGAGCTCTGTGCAGTTCATGGACGTCAAAGTCCTCCAGGTTGAGCTGTAACTTCTCCTTACAGAGTTCGCAGGTGGTCACAGCCTCTAAGGAAGAACCTGGTGAAATAGTACATTACAAGTGAACCTTAGCTTTGCTATGGCTCCACAAAACATTTTCCTTATAAGTTTTAAGCTTAGGATATAGAAAATTGAAAGGGAGGGAGGGAAGAAGGTAGATTGGATTACTGCCATAAATTAGTCATATCTCCTAAAATAGCAATCAGCAATACCTAGAGTGTGTGTCAGGTCCTACTCTGGTATTTAAGCCTCCACCCATTATTTATATACCTGTTGTTTTTTTTCTACTAGATACTCATACATTACTGATCCCGGGAAGCTGATAATGGAATGCCATCTGCACTTCCTCCTTCACCCTTAAGTACATCGGCAAGATGGCATTAAAACAATCCTATATAATAAAGATGTAATATGCAAATGGTTTTTACACCTTGACGAGTAAGGACCAGCCGCGTAATGACTGGATCACGGATCAGCAGGAGGGTGGGGCAGCGGGCAGAGAGCTACAGGAGGGGGCAGGGCAGCAAGCTATGAGAGGGGGTAGGGAGGAGGGGGGAGCTACAGGAGGGCGGCAGTGAGCTACTAGTGCAGGGATTCATGCTCAGGCTAGTAGTGTTTAATAACATAGTATCTCGAACAACTAGTTGCATATACCCAGACCAGTATCTTTGATGTGACAATATATACCTAAGACCTTTCATGGTTTAAGGAATGTGCCCTCCTTAGGTTAGGGAAGGGGGAAAAAAAGCCACTTTTGTCCAGATCAAAACAGCTCCTTTCTATCATAAAAGGAATGGAGTCCTGATACATGCCACAACATAGATGAATCTTGAAAACATTATGCTAAGCAAAGTAAGGTAGGTACAAAAAGAATAAATACCTCATTATCCCATTTATATGAAATGTGTAGAATAGGCAAATTCAGAGAGAAAGTAAATCAGAA